TTTCTGCAATTAAACTGTAATGCCAATACAATATACTGGAATTTATGGAACAAATTGAAAGCACAGAAAACAGAATGAGTTCAAATAAATGGCTTAATTTTGAATCCCAAAGTTCTAGGAAAAGAACAAGTAAGTTCTAAGCCATAGGGGGAGGAAATTATCAAGATCAGAGCAGAAATCAATGCAATGGAGACTTATTAAACAATACAAGAAATCAATGGGTTAATAGTTGGTTCTTTAAAAGATTAAAATTGATAAACCCTTAGGCAATCTTATCAAAAAAGGAAGAAAAAGCTTCAAACCCATGCAATTAAGAATGAAAAGGATACAATTTCAACAGATCCTGGAGAAACACAGAAGTTTATCGCTGTCTACTTTGAAAACTTGTGTTCTAATAAGATTGAAAATGGAGAAGAAATGTTCAGTTTCATAAATATGTATGAATTACCAAAGCTGAACCAAGAAGATAGAAAATTTCCAAATAAACGTGTATCAATCAGTGATTCAAGATGTAGTTAAAAAACCTACCAACAAAGAAAACCCCAGACCCTGATGGATTCATTGCTGAATTCTACAAGAAATTTAGAGAAGATGTAATACTGCTAATTCTCAAGATCTAATACTGCTACTTTAATGAAATTGAAAGAAATCAGTATTTGCAAACTTATTCCTGAAAGCAAGCATTATCCAGAGAGCAAAGCCAGAAAAGAGAACTACATACAGGCCTATCTCTCTAATGAACATAAATGCAAAAACAAAAACTAAACAAAAACACAATTTCAGAAAGACACTAGCAAACAAAATATAGAAAATTCATCCTAGGAATGTAGTGATGGTTCAACATGTGCAAATCAACAAGTGTAATATACCATATTAGTAGAGCAAAGGACAAAAACAATATGATCATCTAAATAAATGCAGAAAAAGCATTTGACAAAGTCTGACACCCACTTGTGATAAAACCTTAAAGACAGTTGGAATACACAGACTGTATCTCAATCTGATCAAGGCTGTTTATGACAAAGCAACGGTCAAAATTATGCTTAATGATCAAAATCTGAAAGCTTTCACTTAAAAATCAGGAACAAGATAAGGATGTCTACTGTCACCCTTCTTATTCAGTATAGTTCTGGAAACATTAATCAGAGCAATTAGACAAGTGAAAGACATAAAAAGAATAAGGATAGAAAAGGAAGAATTTACATTATCATTATTTGTGGATGACATAATACTCCATGTAAAAGATCTCAAGTCCACCAAAAAACTTCTAGATTTAATGACCAAATTCAGTAACATAGAGATACAAAGTAAACACTCAAAAAAGAGTAGCATTCCTGAACAAAAATAAAACTTCACTGAGAGAGAAATTAAGGAAACCACAGCCTTCAAAACAGCACTCCAAAAATGTCTAAGAATCAATCTAATGAAGGAAGTCAAAGATCTCTACCTTGAAAACTACAGTATTCTGAAAAAGGATTTTGAACACGATAACAGAAAATGGAAAAATAATCCTTGCTCTTGGATAGTAAGAACCAAAACTACCACACTTCCAAAATTGCTTTACGGATTTATTGTACTCCCGATCAAAATTCCAACACTATATCTCTCAGAATTAGAGAAATCAATCTTAAAATTTGTTTTGAAGCAGAAAAGACCTGGAATAGCAAAGCAATTCTCAGCAACAAAAACAAGGCAAGAGGCATCACAATCCCTTACTTGAAAATATACTGCAAAACTACTGTGATACAAACAGCATATTACTGGCAAAAAACAGACCTGAAGATCCATGGAAAAGATTAAAAGATGCAGAAACAACCTAAGCCATACTTAACTACATTATCTTTGACAAAAGGAGCAAACATTTTCTTTGGAAGCAAGATGGCCTCTAATAAATGGTGCTGGGAAAGCTGGCTTTCTGCATGCTGGAGATTAAAACTAGACACATGTCTTTTACTGTGCACTAAACTAATATCAAAATGAATCAAAGATCTAAAGATTAAAATAGCATCACAAATCTGCTGGAAAATAGAATTGGTGCAGACAAAGACTTTATGAACAAAATTCCAACCACATAGGAACTACCACAAAAAATCAACAACTGGGGTCTCATCTTATTAGCAAGGTTTTACACTTCAAGAGAAACCACCAATGGAGTGAAGAGACAAACCACAGTGATGGAAAAATGTTTTCCAGGTATTACTCAGACAAAGGATTACTGTCTAGAATATATAAAGAACTCAAAAGAAAAAGAAAAAAGCACCTCAATAAAAAGCCCAATCCAAAAATGAGCACCTGAAATGAATAGACACTTCTTAGATAAAGAAGTAGAAATGCCAAGTAAATATATGAGAAAAAGGTCAGCATCACTGGTCATTCAAGGAATGCAAATTGAAACAACACTGAGATTTTATCTCACCCCAGAGAGAATGACTATCATCAAGAAATCAACCAATAACACTCTGATGGGGCTGTGGGGAAAAGGAAAGCTTTTCCATTGCTGGTGGGAGTGTAGACTGGTAGTAGAAATCAGTGTGGAGTTTCCTCAAAAAACTTGGACTAGAGGTCCTGGTCTAGCAAACTGGTTTTTTTTTCTTGGAATATCTTCTCAGAAGAATTAAAATCATCATACCACAGTGATATATGCACTCCCACACAATTTTTAAAAGCTAAATCTTTGAACAGCGGAAATGCTCATCAATTGAAGAGTAGATAAAGAAAATGTGTGTTTTTTTATACAGTGCAGTACTACTCTGCCATAAAAAGGATAAGTTTGAGACATTTCTAGCTAAATGCTGCATGAAGACATAATCTTAAGTGAAATAATTTGGACATTGTGTGTAAATACTACATTGATTCTCTGGTGTGAGATACTGAAGGTGTAAATAAAGACCACAGTGTACAATGCATTTTGTGAAATAAGAAGAAAATGTTCAATGGGAGGGGAAACTATAGATCGGGGAGGAGAAGAGGAATGAAAGTAAAAAAAAAATGATGAGAAAAGAACAAAAAATGTAGATGAAGCTTTTGTAACTAAGGAGGGGAAGGGATTGCAGGGAGGGTTGGGGAATGGGAAAAAAGAATCAAATTATATCACGTAAAGGCACAAATTTTCTGTGGTCAATGTGATCATTATGTATACCAATACTACTAAAATGTACCAATAAAATTAAATAGTTAAAAAATATTCAAAACTACATATTGTAAGAATATATATATATATATATATATATATATATATATATATATATTTTTTTTTTTTTTTTTTTTTACTGGTACTGGGGATCGAACTCACGACCGCCTGCTTGCAAGGTAGGTGCTTATGCCACTGAGCTAAATCCCCAGCCCGTATAAGAATATACTTTACACCTGACAATTTTTGCTTCTATGACTAACATAATACGTATTCTACTAAAATTACTTGAGCTGTGAAAAACAAGACAACAGTCATTTAGTATTTAGATATAAACATTAAATAACTTAAAGCAAATGAAATTATCATCAGACTTTTAAACAGTAATGCTTGACACCAAAGCAAATTGGAATCATTTATTAAAATTCTCAAAGAAACAAAATGTAAGAAAAGGGTTTTGTAGCCAGCAAATCAGAATTTCAGACATGAAGGAATAAAATTTTCACTTCTGTGTAAGAACTTTGATCTTGGGTCCTTCCTAGTTGATGTATCAGAGAATGAACTTTAGCAAATTATTGGTAACACTGAACAATCATGATTACCAAGGTTGTAGAAAAGGAAATGTGGGGCATTTTAGTACACAGAGGAATACTAAAACCAAGCCCGGTCAAACCTTTGTTATCTATTTTCAGAACATTTAGGAGACAGATGAACATGCTGAATACACCATGAGTGTATGGGGAAAGTACTTTGTGATGGGCGACAGATAATTAGCAGAAAAGGGAGGAGTTAAACTTCAAAACATAGTATTTTTAAAAAGTACACAAAACTAATCTGGCCTTTGGGATGCACACATGGACTGTAAAACTAACAAGAAATGCAGAGAGTGACGATGATAGAAGCCAAGAGAGTGGCTACTTTTAGGAGATGTAGGGTGGAAGCAAGAAAAGGGGACTTGAAAGGTCTCCAAGATGCCTACTAAAATTTTATTGCTTGACTTTAGTGATGGTTACAAAATGTTTTACTGTATAATAATTTAGTGAGGTCTGGATCATTTTTAAAGTTTTATTTAAACCAATTTTTAAAAAGATATTGTATTTATTAGGAAAAGAAAACTGAGAGAGAGCTTCTGGGGTTTCATCTTGCTTCCATGTCTTCTCACTTTCTCTTTTTAAAATTTGTAAATTGCATTTGTAAATTGCTTATGGTAGTTTATTACTATTACCAGACTTTCTTAGGAAATAACTACTTTTTAGAGCTATCTTCTAGTTATAGCTAGCTTTTGGTTTTTGAGTCTGTCCAAAGACCCTACCTTTTCAGTTGATTAGGGTAAGAATTTTCTACCTATGTGTTCTAGTACCCAGTTCTTTGGTACTGGACTACGGTTTTGCTCATGACCATGACACAGTCTTGGTATTGGCATATAAGGAATAACAACTTGTGGAAGACTGTCCTGTTGATTATGCTCACAGCAAGCTGTAAGCAGTGTGAGGTATAAAGAGTTACTTTCATGATAGGCTTGTTTTAAGAAGTGAATCTGGTCAAAACCTAGTGAGTCATAACACTGTGAATGGCAGGTGAATTACATATCCTCACACCAGTGGCCACAGCAGAGGCCAAAAATAGGGTTCATGAAACTGTGAGGCTCTGATACTAGCCTATATGGCAGCCAAGGATGATGTGACTCTTGCCCAAATTTCTTTCCCAGAATTGTAGTTTATTACTTGAAAAATGAGTTAATATTTAACCATTAGAAGAGAGTAATCCCAGTCTCTTCTGTTCTTGATGCAAGAATGTTTTGTTTTCTCCTTTACAAACCCTGATCTCCCTGCTTTTGCTCCTGCTGCTTTTGATGGCTGCTCCCTTGAAGTGTTGCCCCTCAGGCATGTCACCGTGCCTTGGAGCCAGCTGATTATGAACTGAAACCTCCACAAACGGTGAGCTGAATAAACCTTTTTTTTCCTTAATTTTTGGGTGTCAAATATTTTGTCCCAGCATTGAGAGAAAAATAACCAAGACAGGTTTGAGAAAATAGTGAAGAAGACAGGAGAGAAAAAAGAATAAAAAACAAGAATTAAACAAAACAAAACAAAACAACAATTTTCTTACTCATCAAGAAGCAAAAACAAAGAATCATAAAAAAAAAGAAGGAAAAAGAGATGTATCTGTGATTTCAAGCCTGTATCTTCTGGGTGCTATAATTTTGTGGTAGTGTCCATTGCAGGGTGTCCATTGTCACTGGTGGGCAAAGGAAGCAGACAGAGCAGAGATCTGTGCTGGGTGATCTCAGTAAACCTACAACATGATTAGTACAGGGTTCTGGATAATACCAGCAAGCTTGAGGTAGAAATAGGGTGGGCTTGCTGATTTTGGTGCTTTCAACTCCACAGAAGTTTATGCTGATCCTGGTCTTTGGTTTTAGGGTTGGAGTCTGAGTTTCTCAGCCTGAACCAATCTCAGTGTTTTTGCCAACTTGATTTTTGGATCTTTGACCCTGGACATCACTTGAGGTCATTGGGAGTTCCGGGATGAAGCCAACCCGCAGATGCTCTTAGTATTGTTCACTTGGTACCTCCCTGAAATGGCATCTTGCCAACCACCCTATCTTTGTTACTTTTCCCTCATTGCTGAAACAAAATACTTGACACTTCCCAAAATTAAGGGAAGAGAGATTTATTTAGCTCACAATGTGGGGAGGTTCCAGTCCATACTCAGCGGGCTCCATAACAAGGAGGTGTGACTGAAGGGAAACAGTTCATGGTGGCAGAAAATACCAGAAATAATAATAGCACAGAAGGCCAGACAAGCCTGTTTCCCACCCTTATATTGTAAGCAGGTTATGTTCCCCAGGTGAGTATAGCACGTACTCCCATAATTCCAGCACTAGACAATGAACAAATCACAAACTCTACATTGAAGTGCCTCCTCAAAAAATGTCCCCCATGGCTGCATGAGGCTTTGGGGAACATTCAGAAACAAACCATGACACACCCTCTCCATGGATACTTGCACTGTAATAACTCACCAGCTATTGTAGGTCACAGCATCCACTGCTCTGTTTCCCTGGTGTGTTTCTCCCTAGAGGGCTCTGCAGTCACCCACACTCACACTGTCTCTGTACTTCAAGGCTTCTCTCTCATGGCATAAGCAGGAAATCTGGGAGAAAGTTCAGTTTGCTGGTATTATGAGCTAAAAAAAAAAAAACTCCAAATACACTGTTCTTATTATAACTTGTTATCTTCCTGTAAAACTTGTGTAGTACACCACATTAACAGAACCAAAGACAAAAAACACTTTTATCATCTCAATAGATGCAGAAAAGCATTTAACAAAGTACAACACCTACTCATAAAAACGTACAGAACACTGAAATATAAGATCTTTATCTTATCTGATTAAAATTTTCTATGACAAGTTAACAGCCAATATCATATTAAATGGTCAAAATCTGAAAGCTTTCACTTTAAAATTAGCAATAAGACACGGCTTCACATGATCACCAATCCTATTTAATATAGTTCTGCAAACATTAGCTAGAGCAATGAGACAAGAAAAAGAAAAGAAATAAGGACAGGAAAGGAAGAAATTAAATTACATTATTTGTGAGTGACAGGATATTCTACATAAGGTGTCAAAAAGTTCACCAAAAGATTCTAGATTTGATAACTAGCTTCAGTAGAATAGTACAATACAAAATCAGCACACAGTACTCAGTAACATGCATGTACACAAATAAACTCACTGAGAGAGAAATTAGGGAAACCGTAGCCTTCATAATAGCATTAAGAAAAATGAAATCCTTAGGAATCTAATGAAGGAAATAAAAACCTTCACATTGGAAACTGTAGTACTCTGAAAAGAAACGGAACAGTATGTCAGAAAATGGAAAGATATCCCTTGTTTTTGAATAGGCAGAACCAGCATCACTGATCACCGGAGAAATCAAAACGACACTGAGATTTTATCTCACTGCAGAGGGAATGGCTGTCATCAAGAAATCAATCAATAACAAATGCTGGTGAGGCTGTGATGAGAAAGGGGTCTTCCTCCACTGTTGGTGAGAGTTTAAATTGGAACAGTCAGTATGGAATTCAGTATGGAGATTCCTCAAAAAAACTAATACTAGAGATTCCATTTGAGTCAGCTATTATTCTTGGTATCCTCCTGAAAGGGTTCAAAATATATTTCAGCAATATATGCACACCCATGTTTATAGCAGCACAATAAGTAAATAAGTAAATGTAATAAGTAAATCTTTCAAACAGGACAGATGTCCATCAATGGATGAATGGATAAAGAAAATCAGGATTTTATATACAATAGAGTACTGTGCTCCCATAAAGTGTAAACAAGACATTTTTAGGTAAATGAATGCACCTTAAGATCATATTTTTAAGTGAAATTAATGAGACACAGATATTTAAATATCACATTCCCTTGTGTGAGAAACCAAAGGGGTAAATAAGAGTCAAAGTGAATGATAGATACTGGGAAGTAGGAAGAAAATGTTCAAGTGGGAAGGGTAAAAAGGGAGGGTGAAGGGGGAAGGGAAGGAAAGGAAAGGGAAAAAATAGAATGAACAAATAGCAAAGATTTTGTAAATAAAGAACAGAAGAAAGGATGAAAGGAGGGGAGGAGAATGGAGAAAAGATAATCCAGAAATATTATGTACAGAGGAATGCTGATGAGTTGCTATGATGAATGTGACCATTATGTACATCAAAAGCGAACCAATAAAGTTAATTTTCTGACTAAAAGAAAAACAATGACATTGTACCATCTATTTATAACATACAGAGAGATAAAATAGAACTAGTCCTGTGTTTCCAACAGATTTGTATTTACAGTTTCAACTGTAGATTGGAAATATTAAAAAAAATTTATCTACGTTTATCTTTTGGTACTGGGAATTGAACTCAGGCCTCATGTATGCTAAGCTCTACTGAGTTACACCCCAGTCTCAGATATTTTTAAGATCATTAGTCTTAACTAACAGTAATTTGCATAGTTATTTACATTGTGTTACAAATGATGTAAAGATGATTTTTACAATATAGAAGGCTGCATGTAGATTGTACATAAATACTATTTCATTTACATAAGGAAACTGAATACCCATATATTTTGGTATCTGCAGTGCATCCTGTAACCAATCTAACACAGAATGATGGCGTGAGATAACAACACAAAGGATAGGAGAACATTATGTTGGGGAGGTTTCTATTGTGTACAATGCTATATAATACTATTTGATGCAAACATGAGATAAACTTAATGATTCATATTGTAAATCTCAAAGGAACAAGTGAAAAATAAAATAAATAACTAGTTAATCCAACAATAGACATACAATAGAATACTAAAAATTACTCAATACAATAGAAAACTAAAAACAAAGTAATTAAAACCAACAAAAAATTATAGTAAAGCAGTAGATTAAAATCCTACCACACTGAAATCTACAGTAAATGTAAATGATATAAACGTCTATTTCAATGATAAACATTATCAGAATAAAGTTCTAGATTCATATGTGCTGCCCTATTTTAAATGTAAATGACACAACTTAATATAAATATATTGATAGATTCAATAGGTTGAAAATTAAAAAATGAGAATATATAAGTCACAAAATTATGGTAACTATATTAACATCAGGCAAGAACAAAACAGGAAATATCTCAAGGGAAAAGGGTATTATATATATCAACTAATTAAGATGTTATAATAACTATTTAATCTATGCACTTTAAAACAGATCTTGAGAACACATGAAACAAATATAAGAATCTAAAGGAGAAATAGACAAATCTCCAGGTGTAACTGGATATGTCAACATTCCTTTTTCAACAATTGATAAAAACCAAGCCAGATGGAAAATATGTAGGGAAATAAAAGATTAGATGAGCAACAAACTTGATCTACTTAACATTTAAAGAACAAAATGAAGAGACATGTTGTATTGTAACATGGAACCAGGCCTAGTACATTTAAAATACTGAAAGCACAAGAAGTATATTCTGTGATCATAGCACATTAAAATATGAATCAACTGCAGGAGTAAACCTGGAGATTTTCCAAGTATTTAAATATTAAATAGTTAAATAACTCATTTAGCAAAAATTTGGTTAATAAAATATCAGAATTTACTTGATACAACTTGGAGTCTGTAGTAGGGATTTTATAGGTTGAAAATCTTATTTGGAAAAGAACAAAAGTCTGGAAATTAATGATATTAGTGTTGACTTTAAGAAACTAAAACAATGGCAAATCAAATCTAAGTGAGTGAGTGGAAATAAGGATATTAACCAAGATAATGACAAAGGCAATAAAGATTGAAAAGTGGAAAAATAATACAGAAGATCGATGTAAAAATTGCAGTACTGAATTTCAATAAAATTGACAAACTTCTAACAAGACTGATTGCAGTCTACTAAAATAGCTTCACAGTTCTACTTTTCTTTGGGGTGGCTCTTATCAAGTTACTGCCCATTGTGAGGTACTAAATATCTGGCCACCCTGCATCAGTTTAAGATAACCTTGCAGGGCCAGTCCAACTCCAGAGATGCTGAGTCCTTGGGATGGGAATTGTCACAGTGCCCAGTCCTGTTTCCTTCAACTTCCTAGTAGTGCAAATTCTGAGTGACACTTCATTAAACTCCCTGCAGGCAGATTTACATCCTACATTCTCTTTTCAGCAACAACTCCTTGAGATAGACTTTTTCCAAAGATGCCACATTGTTTCAATACTTAAAAACCTAGTATTATAAAGTATTCAGATTGCCCATGTCAGTAGATGATGGTATTTGAATACGACTTGTTCTCATCAGTCTGAACTCTGTCCTACCTTCCTCAAGTCATATGGCTGCTCTTGGCACCAGATAGTTCTGTGTAGGTGATGCTTGACATTTGTGGAAGACGTGACTTGTGGTCAAGCTTTTAGTAGTACATACACCATCTGTCAAACACCTGAGAGAAGAGAGGAGGCCAATCAACAAAGCAGGATAGAAATCCAGAAATAGATAGTTAATATGTTTGAAAACTGATTAAATGAATATGTAGAATTTGAAGTCAGTAGACAAAGTCAATATTTAACAATTAATACCACAGCTGTCTATTTTGAAATTAAAATAAATCTGGGAAAATAAAAGCATTTCTCTTTTCCATACCAGACACCTCAGTATATTCTAGATTCTTTGAAAAGTGATAAAAAGTAAACTTTTATATAAAGTTGCAGGAGAATAGTGACCAATGACCTGGGAAAATATTTCCAAATATTTTGCAAACATTTAGTTAAATTTGATATATATCCAGAGTTGTTACAATTTGGTAATACATGGTCAAAAGTGCATCTAACAGTTCAAAACAGACAAGCCAGAAGAAAAGGCATATGACTGATATATGTATGAACAGATGGTGAGCCTCATTAGCAATTAATGCTGTGCAAATCAACTTGAAGATCCAATCATTTCATTGTCAGAGGAAGGCAGGGAGCCAAAGAGACAATAGTGAATTATGCATAAAACCTGTGCTCATAGGTTTATCACTAAACTGTGATATCACTAAACTGTATGTATACTTAGTGGTTCAAGAGATATAATTAAATATCAAAGAAGTAAGCCACGAGAGACTTGAACAGTGTGATTCTACTTGTGAGCTAAGGATGTGATTCACTAGCAGGGCACTCATCTAGCATGTGTGATGTCCCACGTTTGGTCTCCAGTAACCACGGGAAAAGTAAAAAGAAAAGAACATGATTTTATTTGTGTTTAAAGCGATCTAACATAGCAAGCCACATTATGGGCAAGGGCTGACTGACTGTAGCCAAAGAGGTCAGTGATTATCTCTGGTTGGTAATATCATGAGTGATATAACATACAGATGATATATTTATTCTATCATGTCATGGTATTTTCTACAATAGTCATGTTACTTTGTAAAGGAGGAAGGGTAAAATGAAATTAGTGGTATCTGTTTAGTTGTCAGGTAAGTGCTCAGCCAATAGATTTCTGTTTGTCTTAGATTTTATGTTTCTGATTTCTGAGTCAGAAAAGGGAGAAAGGTTGTACAATTTTTTTAAAAAATATTCTCAAGAAGGCCTTCTGATTTTTATTTTCTGACTCAACGTATCTGTCTTATAGTTGGGGGAAAATTAGTTTGGGTACCGACAAAGGAAAGCTGTCAGATGTTCAGAGGTGCTGTGAACTATTAGATGAAATTTTCCTTGTACCACTTAATGACATAAGTTTTGAAGTTGGGAAAAACTATATTAGATTGCAAGTCAAGATTCCACTTTAAATCAAATTTCTGCAAACCTCAGATTTCCAGGATAATCTTAAGCATAGTGCTTTCTGTGGGTTAGGTTTGCTTTTAACTCACATCTTCCAGCATTGTAAGCAATATGTTATCTTAGTGGAGAGATGATTAAGATTCCACCAGTTAATTAAAGTAGGAAAATCACAGATGAAACAACTAAAGTTGGTTTTCTGCTTGCTTTCTCTGTCGATTTTGCTCATTTGTTGCAATATAGATTGGCATTGCTGATTACAGAACTATTCAAATGATTTGGTATAATCTAGATAAGGCACACAGGAATGCAGAATTTGCTCAGAATACAAAATAAATACAGCAAGTTTTTACTAGTCCCAACGAGTTTATACTCTTATGGAAGAGTCCCACAATATTGCTGAGCTGAATGCTTGCTGTAATGAATGTGTCTTCAAAAATGCATGCTCAAATTTCTCTCACTGTTGCAAAACTAAATCTGAATTGCATCTTCTGTTAAAGAATAATTCCACTAGGTGGAGGTATTTGCTCAGTTTCGTCGTTCATACCAAAGTACAGCTGTGAATTCAGTTTAACATACCATCTCAGAAATAAGGCCAATACCTTTAGGCCTCGCAACATGGTGCTTCCCATTGTAACAGATGGCAAACGTATACATGTTGCTCCATGGAGTTCAGTATTTGGTTTTAATGCTTAGCAAAAGAAAGCAATAGATTTTTAAGTATCTAAGTTACATAGAATAGATATGACTAAAATAGTTACCATGGGCTGACTTGATTATTAACCATGTCATTAAATGTTCTCATTGACTTGGTATACAGCTCCTTCATTCTATAGTGATATATTGATTAAAAGTGTATAATAAGATATAAGCTCTCTCATTATACTTCAGATGTGTTGTGTTTTATTGATGATAGTGACTATCATTACTATGTGAGTATTTTTACAAGTTTTAAACTAGTAACTTCATGTAAAATTGTATCTCTTCAAATTATGGGAACATGTGCTTTCTTTGAGGATACCACGTGAGTGCAAAAATGTAAGAGGCAATTCTTAAAGTAACTAAAACACGAAAGGCCTAGAATTCTGTGGGCAATTTTTCTTTTCAGCTTGAAGCTTTTTGTGGTTATCTTCTTGGGTGTTTACTTTTCTCTTTTTATTGGTACTAACATTATATGGAAACAGTATCTTTCTAGTTAAATAGGAAATTCATCTGTTCCTCTTTAGATGTATTTGAAGTCATAATATTCTGTGTCATCAGCTAATTGACTTCAAGGAAGTAAGTCTGAAACATTGAGCTTTCTGAAAATGGTCCAGTTTTCTTTTAGTACAATTGATTTTCAAAGTCTTCTATGAACACTATTGTCTCCAATTTTATTGTTTTAAAGATACTTAATTGTGTACTGTAGTTCCCATAGACTGATTAAAAACACTAACTTTTGTTCTCCAGCTCCTTAGAAAATTTAGTTGTTATTTTATTTCCAATGTTTTTTTTTTTTTTTTTTTTCTATCTTACATCTATGGTATATGGAAGAACAAAACCGATGAGAATAAACATATTGTTAAAGATAGTTTTTCACGTCTAATTGTTCTTGTATTACTTTAAAATACTATATTTAATTTGTCATTTAAACGATTTCTTGGTATACATTTGTATACATTGGAGAAAATATCCCATTTACCAAAGCATCTACTTTTTAGGATGAAAGCTTGGCCCGCCAGTTGGTGGAGCTAGGCTACCGGGGGACAGGAGAGATTCTTAAAAGGGAAGATTTTGAAGCAAGAAAGGCAGCTATAGAGATTGCAAGAATGGCGGAAAGGACTCAAAAAAAGTAAGTGTACATGCTCCCAAATCTAGATTTTGATATAGTCTAGCTCTGAGAAGACCAATACTTTGAATTTTATTGTAATGTAGAAACATTGGCTGGAGCAGGTAAAACTTGATATGTCCTGAAGCATGTGTTCAGCAGACCAGAAATGGGCAGAACTGTAGTATGCATGTAGTAAAGCCCATGCAACTTTAAGCTGCTAATTTAGGAAATATAAATGAATAGCAAAATATGGTCATCATACCAATAAAGTCCTGTGAGGAACTCAGTATTACTCATTTTATGCATTTACATACTAGAAGAATGGAGTGACTTTTTTCCTAGAGTTTTATTTTCAGGCTTGCAAATTGTGGTTATATTTTCATATCTCTCTAAATGTTGATTCAATTAACTGACTCACTGGCCTTTGTTAATGTGATTGATATTAGGTTATATAAAATATGAATCTAATAAAGTATATTACCCATATAACTAAAGTGATGTGTTCCTAAAGTGAACTGCAGCAAATATTAAGACAATTTTGACAAAGTAAATCATTTTTTTTAACTCTAAAAAGTTGTGTATATTGGAAAGGATAAATAAGTAGGCATCCACGTACAATACTTACATGATATCTTTAGAATACTCTATAATTATAACAAGAAATTTCCCATGAGTTTACTATTAATAACAACATTTGGTGGCAGAATGTGAATTGGTCCTGGGTGTGTACTAGTTTAAATGACCAGTCTAAGGATTACTATGTTTCAAAGTCATAGAAGATTAGACTTGAACATACTGATATTTGGGAATATATTTATTTTTTATTGCTACTCTAGCAATTGCCACCAAGTTAGTGGCTTAAAGCAGCACAAATACATTTATTCCTAGTACTATATATATCATGTGACTCAGTTGAATACTCTGTTCAATACACCTTACCACTGAAATCCTGTCTGGGGGCTCTCTGGCTCAGCCTGCTTCCTCTCCTATCTAGAATGTTGGCCTGAAAGACTGAGGTCCTCATTTTCTGATCAGCTGCCATTTGGAGGCCCGTCTTTGCTCCTAGAGCCGACTTACTTTTCATACTGTCTCCTCTGTTCCTCCAACAACAACAGGTCAAGTCTTACTCACTCTTGAAATGTATTCAACTTTTTCACACATAGCACCATTAGAGGCTGCTGTGATGACCCTGATCCCACCTAGACAACCCAGGATTATTTCTCTGTTTTTAGGTCTATAACCTCCATTACTTCTGCAAAGTCCCTGTAGGCCTGTAAGTGCTATCTAGTCATGGGTTCTGGGGGCTAGGGAATGCACATCCTTCAATAAGCATTCTACTGACCGCAGGTAATTATATAAAACTTCAATAATTTATTTTACATAGGTACTCCGGTTTTTCTTAAAAATTAAAACAAAGCAAATAGTACGAGTACAGTTATATGTGTATATATAAAATGTCAGGAACCGTGTCTTGTTGTGAGAATGAATTAATTTCTATCGATCAGTTCAAGTGCAAAAATCCTTGTGAAGTTTTACATGATGTACGTTCATTCCTATGTGGTTGTATAAGACATATAACCCAGGTCATATGAAGAGGAGTTGTTTTCATATCAAAATTAAAAGGAGTATACCGATGAGTTCCATTCTTGTCACATGTCCATTTTGTGTTCGAGGATGAAAATGGGTATTTCCTTTATGCAATGATCTTTAAATGGCCAGAGCTGGAAGTCATCAGACTGCTTGAGTGCCAGTCCTGGGAGGCTAACCCCACCCCGAGCTCCTAGGATGGAGGAGAACCCTTTCATCTACAGGTCTTCTCTGGCTGCCTTTGTAATGGGATGTGTCCCATATGTTGCCTCTTGCCCCATGTGGGAGCTGCCTTGCTCTCTTCCCTGCCAGGTTTACTGTAGCGTTGCTGAGGGCAGGGCCAGCAGAGAGCGCCCCAGAGCCAAACATGACCTGCACTTGTATTTGCTGGATGGTAAATGGAAAGATGTTTGAACATCCAGCTTTAGGTGAACAGATACCAACTCAGAAATACTTGATTCTGCCATGAGATTATCTTGGATTAATGTCTGTAACACACAGGTGAGACATCCGATTACATCACCGTCTTCTGGCCAACAATCAGAACACACATTTCAAGAAGTGCTGGTAATCCAGGAGTATTTTACTTCCACCAGAGCTCCACACTCTGGAGAGATATTAAGTTACAGATATGGAGGAGATATTCTGATAAAAGGAGAAAGCAAAAAGTAAAAAAAAAAAAAAAAAAACCCTTGCCCTTATTCAGTTATTCACAGATATTTATAGAAAATCATACTGCATCAGACACTATGCCTATGCTAGTCAGACTCTGGATACATAATAGAGCACAAAACTTGGTTCCTGTCCTCAAGAAGTTTGTGAACTACATAAATGAAAGAATTACATTGCTAGTGGGAGTGGAAAATGTAAAACAGTTGGGCAGCTATACAAAAATGTTAAAAAAGGAGTTACCATATGACCCATCAATTCTGCTCCTAGGTGTGTATCCAAGGAAACAAAAAACATTGGTCCACTTAAGTAGTCAAATATGAATATACATAGTAGTCAAAAAGTAGAAACAAGGTCAGATACCCATCACCAAGTGAATGTATAAAAATGTGCTATGTAAGTGTAGTTGTCCATTACTTAGTTATAGAGGCCTGGGGTTCTTTACATACTGCAATACAGATAGTCATTGAAAGCATTAGGGTAAGCAAAAAGAGCTCAGCACCAAAGAGAACATGTTGTATGATTCTATTCATGTAAAATAGAATAGGTAAATTCACAAAAGCAAGTAAACTCATTTTTAGCAAAGACTGCAAGGAAGGAGAAATGGAAAGGGAAATTGAATGGATACGAGATTTCTTTTTGGAGGGGGAGACAAAATATGTAATTAGTTATTATGAATGATTGCATAACTTTTTATAGATACTAAAAACCATTGAAGTGTGTACTATAAAAGGGTAAATTTTTCATTATATGATGTCTATCTTAATAATAAAGACTATTGAGGACAAAAAATACTATCATATTTACTGTCACAATAATTTGCCATATATGACAGTCAAAATTTGGGGGACTGAGGAGGCAGTTCAGAGTAGTGTGCTTGCTTACTGGGCATAAGACCCTGGGTTTGATCTGCAGTGCTATACAAAAAGTGGAGGAGGAAGTTGAAAAACAGAAAAGTTCTTCTTAAGGTAGGACTGATAAATTGACTCAAAAATAAGTAAAGCATAGAGGCATGCTATGATGAACTAATCTATTTTGTCTTGATTCTGTGATAAATGCTCCCTCACAAATCATTTTCTGTATCTATTTTAACTGGATCATCCCTTCAGCTGAACATTTTTCTGGATGGGATTGTGTGATTATCAGCTTCCTCACTTTTGATTAGAACCACTTATACCATTAGAAAAATAAATTTGGCCTTCTCTAAACTGGCTCAGGGATGATGACTTTATTTGACCAAAGTACATCTAAAACAAAGATGGTAGGAATACACGGTAGGCTTGGTGGAGCCTTAAGTGTACTGGGTTGGCTGTTACCATTGTTTTGAAAGACTGTGTGATGACCCTTTGGAAATCCTCATAAGAAACAGCCTGTTACAAGCTTCAAGACTTGAATGTACAGGGATCATGGTGGTCTTTCTGTGCCTGAAGCCCTTATGGGGATTTAAGGTAAGGTTCTTTTTTATGTTTTTCAATTCGGCAGAGGACTGTTTTGTTTAATAGACATCATAAACTTCATGCCTTCTATTACCAGTGCCTTGAAATTCAAAGAATTTTAAAAGTTAGTAGTTTCTGCAAGCAGAAAAATATGCATTTGTTGCATAACATGTGGTGATAAAATTTGTCCAGCTTTATTATACAATCTCAAAGCACTTAAGATACAGCATCAGTCAAATATATACTGTAGATTGATGGACTATCATAACATGAAATGTACTCTGTGTTCAAATTCCTCCGGGGATTCTAGTAATGTAAAAGCAAGCTAGACAAGTCCCCAGACTTTCTTATTTTGATCAATCTAATCAGTTTATCATTTGTTAACTTTTTTTCTGGTATGATTTGTACTTGTTTTCTTCAATTTGTTTTCAGCAATAGGAAATGGAACTATTCACTGACAAAATATTCTTTTAATTTTATGAGGATGAAGTTGGATAAAAGGTCAGAATTTCTTATGTAATATGGCTTTAACCTGCCTGATTCTTTTATCTTTGGATAAAGTTTTATAATCAAGATGAGTACCACTGACTTGGAGTTAAATGAAAGAGTTTATATGTAAATATTCTGTGAAATTATTTCAATTTCTTGCTTGGTTTCAGGAATCATATTTTTTAAAAAGTTATTCTCATATGGTTTGTAGTTCTCAAATCCAAATCATGCAGTTGTGATCTCTGGCAGATCAGCATTTTCAGGAAAAGACAATGAGTAGGTTTGGTTTGTCCACAAATCTTTTGCAGGATGTATCTGTTATCCTGTAGAGTGCATGAATTTTGTAAATCCAGGAACTTCCCATCTTTTGTTCATCTTTTCCAATCAATGTGGTGTCACTACTGGAATTAATCCACCTGGTATTCTGGGGGATTCCAGCTGGCCTGGATGCTACTGTAACAGAGGATAGGAGATGGACCATGAGCGAATATTACTGTTTGTTCCATTTGAATTAAAAATGATTTTGACTCCATTTCCTGACTACGATAGAAAGAACTTATTCTCAAAATCATTCCCTACATGGGGTCTCCCTTAGGCTATCGTACTCTGTTGGATCAAGGATAGCGTTGCAGCTGCATTCAGGACCACCACATGCGTGAGTTGGAGGTGCCACAGCCATTCTTCAGGATTCACTATGTGGGCTGTGCCATTAGCCAAGTGTGATCATCTGAGTTAGATGTTCAGGTCAGAGACCCAGGAATGCAGCCGTGGACAAGTGGGGCCTCTGGGAAGCTAACCTTGGACAGGATGCCATTTGTGATCTGACCTGCTATAAGCTGC